CGGCGCCTCAGGGGAAGAGGGTTTAAGAACTGGAGAAATGCCACTGTCAGTAAGGAATGAGGGGAAAAGTGTGAGGGGAAAACGGGGAGAGGCAGCCCTGCGAGCCCTGAGGGGTCAGGAGGAGGAGGAGCTGCAGGCGCGGCGTAGGCATTGCCCTGTTTAGCAGAAGGCTTTCCAGTGGCACTGTGGGAAAGAGGTAAGTGTTGGACATTTAAATAGACCACACACCACAGGAAAATGTAAGCATTTTTATGTTTGTACTGTTTTAAGTGTTTTAATAAAGCGCTACTGAGTGACCCCACAAGGAAATTCTACTTAATCAGATAAATTAGAGATATTTGGGGGGAGGGAATTAATTTCTTGTGCTGGTAAACTCCAAACTCCGCAGAGAAAAGGATCTTCACTGGGTACTGTAGCTGTTGACATAGCTTCTGTTATGGTTACATCTGTTTGCTCTTCTCAATCTGGCTTTGCCAGCATAGCTAAAAGGGTCTCAGTCTTTCTTTGCATTGCACTCCCTGAACCAAATGTTACTGAAGTTGATGGTAGCATTGCAGCAAACGCTAAGCGATGTTTGGATCTGCCTCTGTCCTAGTAAGTGACACAGATCAAATTTAACACAGCAATGGTGAATGAAAAAGACAAGCCAATTAACTCCACAATTTTAAATATATAAAACACACTGGTAATTTTTGAAGCTTCATCAAAGGCTTAGGGTTCAGGTGGTTTTAAGGCAATTACGTGCAAGCCAAAAAAAAAAAAAAAATCTCGTGAATCTGTCTTGTCCCTGTGTCTTTGCTTGGTGTCTTTCTTCTCCCTCTAACTTTTTATATCTAATTATATCGTTAAATCTTCCTAATATACATCTGAAGATAGAAGGTGACAGCTGTAATTGGAAGAACTGATCACAAACTATTTTTTCTTGGCAATGTCTGTGTAAATTTGTAATATGCTTAAGAAAACAGAGAACAAATCTTATCAATAAATTGAGGCTATTTCATTTTGGATGACTGTCCACTGAGGATCATCCTCACTGCAGTTGGTCTCAGAATATCATTGACGTTGGTCACAAACAATCTACTCTTTAATTTCCAGGATACAAAGTCCCTTTGACATCTGCCATCTCTGTTCCACAGTCAAACTCTCACTGGTGCAGTATCAGCTGTAATTGAACTCGCAAATTGCTTCACGTTCTGAAATGCTGACTGCTTAATTATGATGGGGAAAATAGCATTCTACAGCCATAAGCTCAAATAACTGTGTAACTCAAAAACTATGTAATTATACCTGTGAATAATACTTGCTGTGATTTATGTTAATACTGGTGACAATATGCAGAAAGACCACTCTGCAGACCTTGTCTTACTTGAGTGCGGAAGGGACCAAAGAAGCAGAATGAAACACGAAATAAAAAGAAGAGAGGAAATGCAGGCCTGGGCCTCAATTCCTTTAATCCCAAAGCTGTTCCAGTTCACCCAAACATGCTTCAAGAGATTGTGCAGTTCAACTCCCAGCTTAACCTACACGTTTTCGATGGGGGTATTGTTCAGTCAATTTATCCTTAGGTTCGGTCTCCCTTTGACAAACAAGAACTGCAAGGACCATGTTTTTCAGGTATGCGCTGAGAGTTAAACACAGAGTGAGATGCTGGAATACTGTGTCTATGGGAATTGACATGAATATCTGTGTAACAAAATGGAAAACACTTTCTGAACACTGTGTGATCTTGATGCTACAGTTTATTTGAGGAATTGTGTGTATGAAAACCACTATGTTTCATTTTAGTCTGGAGAAGGAAGGAGAGCGCAATTTTAAGCCTCCTAGTCTGGCTGAAAGGAACGCATTCAAAACAACACAAGAGATACTGAAGATGACTCTGGATGAGCTATCTCAAATATCAGAAGTTGCGAGTCGCTATAACGTGACATGGCTTTTCTGGATCCCTGTGTAGTAGCTATCCTACTCAGATCTGGCCCATTTTTTCCTGTATGGTGTTGCTTGTGTGGTATGAATGTCTACCACAGACCATATCTATACCCCAGTGAACTCGATGCACAGTGTTTAAGTGGATTTTAGCTCAAGCTACCTCTGTGGTAGCACCTGATACTGTTTACATTCATAATATCACTCTAGTAGGTTCACGCAGCAGATTGGTTGTTCGTAAATCCTTAGTTTCATGAAAAACCTCAGTGGTGGATTTTTCCTGATTCTCTCCATGTTATATTTTTTCTTGTAAAAAGGAAAGTACATAGGCCTCTGTCTGTGGATGATTAATTACTCTATAACAAAGCAGCTGTAGAGCCTGACAAGATTGCACTCAGATTACAGTCTTAAAATAGTGGCTGGACTTGGTGTTTTCCTTCCAACCATCTTACAAGTCCAACCATCTTGTCATAAGAATGAATGATAATTGCATTGCTCTGTGTTGTCACTACATTTCTTGTCGTATGAATAGGTTCATTTAGTGCCACCATCTTGGGATGCTATGCAAATGAGGCATCTGAACTTAAGACTGTTACGTCTTTTCCTCTGATCAAGAGACAAATCCTAGGGTCCAAGCACAGATTTTAAGTAGAAGCTTTACATGCTATATTTGCATCATGAAGTTACAAGCTTTACAAAAATGATGCAGGTTTGCTCGTTACTTTTTTATATACTAGAAAAATACATGTAAGTTTATATGTAAGTTTTAGGATAAAAAGGGATTGACCCTAAAAGAAGAGAGTAGCAGAGTTACGAGTAAAACTGAAGCCTTCCATTTTTCAATGCTGACCAATAAGTTGGTCAACTAAGTTTTAGGTTTTTTTCAATAGGGAAACTGTGCAGAGTATTTTGGGTTGGGACAAGAGGTAAGAAATTCTCATTGTTGGAAGTCACCAAGGCACATAGCTGGTTCAAGGTTCTTCAGAGATACAGAAGATCTGTTTTACTATAGGAAGTAACTGAATTAACTAAAGTTAAGTGGTTGAGTAAATGTACAGGTGAAATCTAGACAAAATAACAAAAATACCAGGCAAAGAAAAATGTTTCAAATTTATTCGGTTATGCATTAATCTTCAAATACAGGCTACTGGATTATTATTTTTTTTTAGTCTAAATGTACAAATCAACACTAACCCTAAAATCAACTTTATGCAGAAAGCTTGACAGAGAAATTCATCCTGATGTAATAAGCACAGCTCCACTGAGATCAATGGTGATATTTAAGCTGAAGATAGGACTCAGCTTTCTAATTTGCCAGCAGCATATGAAATGATCATTTATGCTGGCACTCCGCTGAGATAAAAATTGGAAGACAAATATATAAAAATTACAAAGCAAAGCTTAGTTCCCATTTGAAAGGTGGTTCATTTTGTTTGCTTTGCTTTGCAGTTTGGTTGCATTCATATTCACACACTGAATCATATTCAGAAGTGGTCAAAGTTACCTGTTTCTTTGTGTGGCGCTCTGTTTGCTGGTTTCTTGGTTTCCTCTGGAAAGCATGCTTGCTTTTGTCCACAGAAGATCCCTTTCCTTGATAGGCTCCAGTTTATTTTCTCTGTTCTTATAGCCCTCTGTAACTGATTCCCCTGTGCCCTTGATTATCTGTAGACACTGATTATGAAATTACTTATCTTTGGTACAGGTAAAGGAATGTGTATTACCTGCAACTTATATGGCTGAAAATGAGGTAATAGTAACAAAAGAACATATTAATAATGAGATGAAGGCCAGTTTGATGATTATATGCTCTCACACACACCCCTTTGTGTAAGCGTATATTGAACATAACATCTGTCTGTTGCAAAAATCTATACTTGAAATTAATTGGTGCTTTCCCTGGATCTGTGTTTCTCTCAGGGCAGATATCAGTGGATGGATTTATGCGATATCTGAGTGGAGAAGAAAATGGCGTTGTTCCACCTGAGAAACTGGATTTAAATGAAGATATGTCTCAACCACTGTCACACTATTTCATCAACTCCTCACACAACACCTACCTCACAGGTACAGTGATTGAGAGATCTGTTTTTTTATCTTACAAAAATTTGTAGCATATTTGCAGTAATACTATAAAATATACTAAAAGCATCAGTAGTAAATGATGATAGAGCTTAGTCTTCAGGGAAGCAAGGGTAGCACTTGATTGTTGTTCTAACTGCTACCACATATATCAAATATACTTTTATTAACAGGTAAGCAGCAGTTGCATTGTCAGTTATAAGGTCTGGTCTGAAGCCTAGTGAAGTCCCTGGAAAATTTCCCTCAGATAGGATTCCAGATTAAGGTCCTTATTTGGGGAAGGCAGGGAATGATGTACTTTTTATGACAACCAAGGATAGACAAACAAGTATGTGAAGCAGAATATGGGAAACATCTCTGTAGCTAATAAATTTGCCTCTAAACATTAAATCTGACAGTTCATTTTGCTCCATGAAATTTGCTTTGATTCAGAGATTAGAGAGGTCCCAACATGGCAACATAGCTTTCTGACAGTCCATTCATATCTGCCGGGAATAGAAATCTGGTCTCTAACTATATCTAATGTCTGAGACGAGATTTTTAGGTGCTGTCATGTTTTTAAAAAGGCTGAGCACCCAGAAGATCCTGTTATTTTGAATTAATGAGTCTAAACTCCATTGTTTGCACAGCAAAGTTAAAAATGCTTTAAGATTCCTAAAAAAGTAAGACAGTTTAGGAACCCAACTTTTGGCACTCATTTGGTAGTCTAAGATGCTGTTAACTTGTGAGACAATAATTGTAAATTTACTATTTTAGTTTAGTTTATGTAGGAACAAACATTTTTGACAAGCAGATGTGCGCAGGGGGTTCTCTCCTGTTTGCTTTGTCTTGTCGCGTTTGCTAATGTCTTAGCATTATGTTAAAAAAAAAAAGGTGATGCTACAGTGTGTGCTAAAAATGTGGCTCATGGATAATGTAGGCTTTTTAATGTTGTTAACAGACTTGCCTTGACTGACCAAGTTCTTCGGAATGGCAGTATGCCAAAACATAAACAAAACCATGCAGTGGTGATGCACAGTTTAAATAGACCATGTGGTAGTTACTTTCATCTTTTTTGTGTTTGTTAGTAGCACTTTGTACAGCACCTTCTAGTGCTTCATAAAGTGAATGAACTGTCATTGTTTCCATTAGACAGAATTTTTCAGAGGTTTATATCTTGGCTGTAAAATGTATTTTGTGCTAAAACTTGTTATATACGTATTTGGCTTGACAGCTATTTTGTTTCTCTGAATTAAAAGAAATGAAAATCACTGTGGCCACTTTAAGTTATGATTCCAATATGCAGAAATTTATGCTCTTCGAAAGAGCGCAGACAAAGCAAAAGCAATTTTTATTTATGATATTTTTCATGCCTCTTACCTCCTGTGTGGACTTTGTTCTGTCAGTGAGGATTAGGACCCACTTAAGCACATGCTGCAGCTTTATACAGATTTTCTGGAAGAAAACAGTAAAGCTGTTGTACCAATGTCGGAAGCATAGGCTCACAGGGAGGACAGACAGTGCAGTTTAAAGTTGGTCTGAAGAGATAAAATAATGCTGTCCCCTGTACCAGTATGAATTTATAGTCAGTACCATACCACAGATTTTTATCGGGGCTGATCAGGGCAGAGTCATGTTTTGAAGGTCTAGAAGCACAGAAGTCAAAGAACAAAGAATTAAGGATGGAAATTCTTGATTAGTCCAACCCATTCTAAATTTTTAACTGCACCACAAATGACCTAACATACTTAATTATTTTAGGAGAAAGAAAGTTTACCTTGAAACTTTCCAAGTTCGCTTTGACTTGTATGTGAAAGTCTGCAAATCATCTCAGTTGCATCTACAGGTTTCTTTGCCTGCATTTCTGAATAATTTCAGAAGCTACATTGGGAAGTATGATCCTCAGTCTTAATTTAACATAATATTTGAGGCTTAGTAAATCGGGGGGAGTAAATCAGAGTAAACATGGGGGATAGTGCAGAATAGGTTTGAATCTCTTTCACATTCAATTTCAAAGTGTCTATTTTCACATTTAGAAGCACAAGACACATACCCTTCCCTTTTAGTGGGTTCATTGTGTTCAGTAAATGTGTGGCAGATGGCTGACAATGGGATTAATGATTTGACTTTTATCTTCATATTACAAAAACTGACAGCCTTCGATTTTGCTTTGAGGCTAGACCAGGTCAGCAATCACATTGCCATTTGCTTTCTTCCAGGAAGGACTTAGTTCAGCTGAAACCTGTAAAAGTAATGGTGGCAGACTGTTCTTTTCCCCAAGAAAATCTCAAAGGGTCTGCTAAGTGCTCATGGCTTTGGAAGGGAAGCTTTGGTAGCACCTCTGCCCTCATTGGAGCTGTAAAATAGCAACTAGTCATGTAATAATTATTAGGACAACAAGAAAACCATTCAGCCTAGCAATACTTTATGATTACTGTGCTTATTGCCCTACCAATTATCTCTCCCTTTGTTAGTTTTTTAAACCCAGAAAACGCATGCACAAAGAAACAATGTTATAACATAAAAAGAAACATGTGCACACTCTGAATTTATTTTTAATTACGCTGATCATTTTCCTAGCCTTTAGTAGAAACCCTTGGCAGTACATCAAGTCCTGATTATTTATTTAGAAGTGTTACTGCTTTCTTTTTCTTGGGGAAGTGTAATTTTAAGAATAAAGGTAAAAATCCGTGAAGAAAGAAGTGATTTATAGTGAACCTAGCCTAGCTTAAAGAAATGTCATCTTTTTGAAACTTTTTTTTACTTTCTCTCATTTTTTTTCTCACTGGTATCATATTTATTAATTTACTCCTTTGAAGCCTTAATGTGCAACCCTGCTTTTTTCTGGTAGCTCACCAAGCTCACCTCAGGTTACTGCTGTTGTCACAGAGGGGAGTGACTTTGCAGCATTCCTCTCAGCAGCACCCAAAGTCAAAGACGAATGATTACATATCATTATTGGCATTGCACACTTTGATGGCTATGCAACTTGCTGTTTTATATGTGAAATGCAAAGTATGAAAATCAGAAGCCTTTAACGCATGTTTTATTTTTTGCTAAAAGTAAAGATTAGAGCAGCAGTAACACACAGAGCTATCAGTTTAGCACACGTAGCCAACATGGTACTATCCCATTCACCCTCAGCATCTGCTTACCTGCTTACAGTCCAGTACTTTCAGTTTTTTCTAGAAAAATACCTCACGAGGGGCATGTTCTCTTCTTTATTGCTGCTGTGGTCTCTCTTCTACCGTCCTCCAGCATTCCTGTTCTCAGCAATTCCTCAGTCCTGTTGTTGCTTACTATCTGCATTCAACACTTCTTGAAACCTTCTTCACCTTCAAAGCTTCCAAAACAGCCTCATTCTTCACCGTTTCCAAGATGACAGCACCATATGGAAGGGAAGGAAAGCTGGGTGATGCCTACCCTGAGCATGAGTTTGTCATACCACCAAGAGTAGTTTTTGGCTGGCTGCTGCGTTGAGCTCAGGTGATTGGCTGGCAAGACCCAAGGCTCTGCTCTCTTCCAGCCCCACCATATCCTTGGTGGACTAGATGGTAGAAAGGCTCAGGGAGCTCCTGCAGCAGAGAGGAGTTGAGCTGAGGAGGAGTGATAGCTGTCCTCCTGCCAGCAGACCCAGCTAATCCTGTACAGCACTCTAAGGCAGATAAATTCTTCCTGGCACTGGGGTCACAGTTTATCTTAGCATGAGGACTAACGGATAGAAAGAAGAAGTAGTGGTTGTTGTGCAGCTCTTCCATCCATCTGCAGTTTATTGGGGTATTTTTTACCTTCCAGCTGTCATTATTTTTAGTGATTCACCTTCAGAATATCATAAAACCTTGTGTAACCCTGAGGAAAAGGGCTGAGTTTTCAGAGGTGGAGTTAATTTGAACATGATGCCTTCACCTCACAGGAAGGAAGCTACAGACCACCATCTGGGCCCTGTGGCCTGTTCAGTGCAACTGTGGAAGCTGCTTCAATGTTACCTCATTGAACTGACTACAGCCATTAAAAAACAGTCATCAGAGGGAAAGCTGTTGTTGCTTTACAAAGGGGAAAGATAGTCTGTGTGGAAGGTCTTAGGTGGAACTTTCAGAGATACCAGTTTGATTCCCTGCTCTCAAATCCTACATGTAAAAAATAGCTTCAATAAGATGGAGGTTCCCATCTGCCTGACTCTTTTGCATTTTCCTCTGAGGCTGTTTGGCTTTTGTGAGAAGATGACTACTCAATTAAGCAGACTCTGAGTAAAAATTCCTTAGGTCTCCTGCTCTGCAGTGTTTTCACATGACTGCTCTAATTTTGACAGCTGAGTGTTCATACTAGCACTGTTAAATCTTAGTTTATCTTTTTGTTGTCCTAAGGGGTACCTGCCCTCCGATACCAGCTTCACCCATGCCAATTCGCTCTTTCTTAAGCCATACTCTGAGGGAATTTCTACTTTTTAAAGTGAGTGGAAACCTCGTAAAAGGGAGAGGAAAAAATCATATAGATTGTATCCTTAAGGCAAAATTAATTATTCTAATACAGATCAGCAACTAACACTGAAATTTCCTGAGGAAGCTTGCCTCCAGTAGCAGCAGAGGTGAACATAAAGAGTTTTAAAAAAAATACTGTTTGGTCTGATCTGAGATAACTGGATTCTCAAGAAGAAGAACAGTCAAGTTCATGAAAGTGTTTTGTTGCCTTTAAGTAATGTTTCATTCACTACTGCCTAGTGAGTTTTCAAGATCCTCTGTGCCTTCTCTTATTTGGCCTCTTTAGGCCAACCAGTTGAAGAATATTGAAATAAGAGATATGTTATTTTCTAAACCCCCTCTTTAAGGAGGATGAAACTGTGTTGAGGATTGGGTAACCTCTCTGACTCCAGTAGCAGCATTTGAAGACCTTCAAATAGCTGAAATCTGTAAGACAAAGATACAGAGAGTGGGCAGCAGGGAAAGGGCTCTGTGAGTAGGTCCAGGTGGGTCCCACTTCCTCACTGCAGTTGGAGAGACTCAGCTGGTCATGGGGTGTGTGTTTCTCAGTTGGGTCCCCGGCTAGGATGAGTGCTGGATAGTGTCCGTCACGTAGCCTGGATGCAGCGTGGGACCTGCCCAGGCACTGCCAGCAACTGAGCAGAAATGCAAACTCAGCGCCTGGCCAGCCCTCCTGGCATACGCAAGTGTCTCATCTTCTGCTTGGGTAGGCCTGAATCAATACTGACAGCAAGTGTATTCCTGCCGCTGGCTGGAGCGAGG